CAAAAGACTGAAACGGTCTTAAAAGAAACACAAAAAATAATAATCCTAAAGGACTTAGTCTTCTCTGGGAGCAGCATCTTCGCCCTCGAGGCCTTCTTCGCTTTCAGATCCGCTCATACTCCCAGAATCATCATTATCAGGAAAGGCCAACACTCTGGCTTCAGCTTCAAGCTCCTTAGCATTCTTGATCTCGGCTGTAAGATTGAAGCCACTAGCATGGATCTCCTCGAGAGTCTCCCTTCGAGACTGGCATTTAGCATGCTCGGCAACCAGTTTGCTCGAGCCTGAGCAGCTTCGGCAACCTCCTTTGCTCGAACCTGAGCAGCTTCAGCGTCGGACCGGTAGACGGCCACCATTGCATCGGCATTAGCCTTGGCCATTTCGACCTCCGATTTGGCCGCTACAAGTTCTGTGGCCAACCTCTCTCGATCGAAAGTTGCTGAACCCAACCGAGACTGGAACTCCTCAATTTTCTTGGCTTGCACCAAGACCTTCTCTTTCAAGCTTCGGAGTTGGGTCTCAGCCGAGGCCAGTTGAGCTTGGGCAGCCTCCTTTTCTGAGGCAAGGCGATCCATGTTCTTCTTCTATGCCTTGGCCTCCGCTTTCACTGCGTCCACTTCCTCACGAAGCTACCCGATCACATTGAGCTTTTGCTGGACCTGTGGGACCAAACTATTAGCCACCATGCCCGAGTCAGTATCATTAACTTCAAAGATTCTTTTTACCTGCTCGGCCAGATCAACTTGTTCTTTCTGAGCTGCTTCTAGCTCAACCCGAAGTCCTTTTGCTTCCCCTTCCCTATGCTCACTGAGAAGCTTGAAGGCATCTCTCTCCTCAGTAAGCCCTCGGATTTTGGCTTCGTATCGGCTCAGCTTCCCTCAGGATCGAAAGAAAGCCTCGTGATGAAGCATAAAAGCCTATAAAAATAGAAAGAAGGAATTAAACAAGGGGAGAAAAGTACAAGTATAAAAATTGACAAAGAAAATATGAACTTACCCGGTTCAGGGCCTGTTGAGCTTCGTTGAAAGCACAAGGCGCTCCTACCCCATCCATCTGGGCTTGGTCTTCTTCCGTGACCAAACATCGAAGGTAGCTAGCCACTCCTACGGGGGCAACAAGAACACGGGAATCCTCTGGGAGCATGATAACGATTGTTCGCTTACGCCCGGGATTGACACTAGGGGCCGAAAACTGATTGGTCAGTTTAAAACTCGAGGAAGCCTCGCCCGAGATCTTCTTCGGAGCCTCCAAGTCACTCAGACCGGTGACGTCTTCTACCCCAACAAAATAATCACGGAAAGAATCTTCCTCTCTGGGGGCTCCCTCCCCGTGACAAGTCTCCACGGCCTGAGCGTCGCGTATCATCGACTCGGAAAATGAAGGAAACGAGGGGGAATCCCCAATCTCTATTGCCCCAAGTGGGTATTTTAGGGTGTCGCCTCCGTCTTGGGGAGCCTCAAGCCCGGTTTCTGCACCGGCATCCACCGCCTCTTTAACGGTCTCTTCGCCCCAAGATAAAGCATCTTCGGTTCCTCTCGGCTTGGGGACTTGGGCCGAAGTCTCCTCCTCGATCTCATCAAGCCTAAACGGAGCAGTATCTACTCCCACCGGTTTTGAAGTTCTTCGAATCTTGGTGCTAGCTCGCGCACGGGCCACCAGCCCGGAATCATCTTCTTTCTCTTTTTCTTCTTCTTCTTCTTCTTCTTCTTCTTCTTCTTCTTATTCCCTTAGTCTTTGGACTGACTCCATAGTCAACAGGATTGTGTTCTCCTTGGGTTTACGGGCTGTTCTCTTCTTGGGTTTTTGACCCTCGGAGTTCGAGGCCCTTTTCCTCTTATTCTCCTTTGCCGGTTTCGAGATCGGTGGTGAAACTTCTTCATCACCGGACGGGAGTCTCATAGTCGCATCCCTTCCGAGACCTGCCAAAGGAGAAAGTAAGTAAACTCATGTTTGAAAAGATGCTTGAACGATAGGCAAATCGGTAAGTCGGGAAGAAGTCTTACCATAAGTACGAGCCTCCCACCGACCCTTTGACAAATCGCACCATGCGCGCTCGGTGTATGTTAATGTCGAAACTAGGCTCCTAACCCAGTTCTCGAGGTGGGGAATCGCACCCGAAATCCTAGCAACGGCTGCATCGAGAAAAACACTGATAAGAAAGGATGAAGAAGTAAAAACAACGAACAGAAATTAAAGACGGAATCATACTTATGTTTCATATTCCATTTCTCAGGAAATGACATGCTCTCAGTCGGGATTAGGTCCGTGATCTTCACCCGAATGAACCGGCCCATCCAGCCCCGATCTTTGTCTTCATCTATACTCGAGATGAGCGCCTTGGTGGCCCGGTGTTGAAGCTTTATCAGCCCACCTCGATAGAATCGAGGGCTTGAAGGGAAGCCCATCGATTTTGCTCACGAAGAAACGGAGCAGTATCACGATCCTCCAGAAAGAAGGGTGAATTTGGCTGAGGGTCACCTGGTATTTCTTGCAGAAGTCTACGATGACCGGATCGAGGGGACCCAACATGAAAGGATAAGTGTAAACACTCAGGAACCCTTCCACATGGGTGGTGATCGCTTCTTCTGGTGCCGGTATCACAACCTCTTTGTTTCCCCAGTTCCAATCTTTCTTCACCTGGTCAAGGAGGCTTTTGGAAATCGAGCATATATATCTCGATACCGGCTCGCATCAACCAGGAACCGATGAGGGTTTCTCAACCTTATAGTCGGAATCAATGACACACACCCCGGGAATAAGTTCTTCAGGGCATGGCTCCACCACTGGTTTCTCGCCGGCCGGCCGAGATGAGGAAGCAACCTCTTTCTGCGGAACAGTTTTAGATGTTTTGGCCATTTAGTTTTTTTGGGCAAAGAAGAATGGAGATTGAAGTATTTGGTGTTTTAGGAAGAATAAGCAAAGAAACTCAAAAACTTGAAGATAGGAAGCTTTGGAGAAGGCAAAGAACTATGGAGATTGGAATGAAAAAGATTTGAAAGTAAAGTTTGAAATAATGAAGAAGGGGGCTATTTATCGGTTTCACAACGACGATTCAAAACTGGTAATGGACGACCGTCGACTGACGCGCATTAAATACCCAAAAAACTATACCGACGAGATGTTTCGGTCACTCATGCTGCTTATGTCATGACGATTACGTCATGATGTACCGAGGTGAAGATCGAAGGCTCAAATCGTTTCTTGTCATTACTCTCCAAAAAATGAGGGAACTATTTGTATGGTTAATCGAGACCGAGAAGGATAGAGATCTAGCGAGATCGAAGGAAACCTGCTAAGTCGAATAACAGAAAGCTGAGGAATCTGTGACCGGGCGAGAATTGTGGCGAAGATCTCGGCATGTATCAAGTCAAAACCGGTTGATTAGCCAATTAAGAGATTTTCTTCTGTATTTAGAATTGTACCATATGTAGAACTTATCTACTATATAAAGAAGGTTCCAATCATTTTGTAAGGGAGGACATTCACGCATAACAAAGCAATATATTACGTTTTCTCTCTTAAGCTCTCTTATTCAGTTGTTCAGTTCTTGCTTTTCAATAATATACTCAATTGGTTCGAGGGCGACCTAGTTCGACGGTCAAAGTTGTGCGTTACATTGGTTTGCTTTATTTTACAGTTAATTTCTAACTTCAATTCTCATATTTCTCAGTTTGTGCCAAGTGAAATCACATATCCTTAAAACCACTTACAAATTTAATTGTTATCCGATTTTAAGGGTAGACACCCATTATGTTTCAATTGGGAGCATTTGCGCAGATAGCATTTTGACATCACTATTTAAATTCCATCTCCATGCCTAAATTTATCTGCAAAGAGAAAAATTCGTCCAACCACTTTTAAAGGCAAAATTTAGCTCACTGGACTAACATGAACATAAATTAAAGAGGGGCCTCAAAAAAGGTCATATGGTGCAAATAATTCTTTCAATTGTGCCAAGACCACCCTCCCTAATTGTCAAGGAATCAGACAATATTTTAAACCTTTTAATTTCACTAAGTTCAGAAGAACACTGAATAGAATAGAATTAAGTAAAAGGACAAACACCTCAAAAAGAAACTCCATACTTGATTAGAAACAACTCAATGAAAATGTAAGTTCTTATTGAGCAAGACCCAGCATATACAAAAAAAAAAATCAGCATTCCAATTCAAGAATGGACTTTTTCGTATATATACAAAATTTTAAACTTATATACCCGGTTTTGTCTAAGTTTTTATATTTACAGGAAGTAACAAAAAATTTTTACAAAATATATACAAATCCGGTCAAAATCTACAATTTATCTACAACATAAGTACACATTTTTTGTACAGAATACGGTCAAAAACTACAATTTACATATAATTTATATACAACGTATATACAATTATGTAAGTTGTAGATATTTTATATACCGTTTCTACATTCGACATACAAAATATATACAATTTGTTCGTGTCTTCTTTTTCGAGTTTCAGTCTGAAATTTCAACCAAAACCACCTCAAATCTTCACCAAATTGTCTCAAATTTGAGATATAAACTCCAACGGATATTCCCAATCATTTGCAACAACACCCAATCCAAACAAAAAATAATTTCATAAAATTTTATTTTTGAATTCAAAGTTTTAAAACTTTTTAATGGCTGTCAATGAAATTTTTAATGGATTAACATAGTTTCCAATTCAATCTACTCGCTTCTAATTAATACTTTTTTATTTATTGATTCCAAAAAGCTAAAAGAATGATAACTAAAATGATTTTCTTCATCAGAGCTAATTTGTTTTCTTATTTACTTCCTCGTTTTCATAGGATCTGAAGCAAGTACTAATCTTCTCTTTTTTTTCACTTAACATTAGTATCATTTTTTCAGTTAATCCACATGAAGATATTAATATAAGAATACTGATAGAGAATGAAAGAGAGAGAGAGAGAGAGAGAAGAAAGAGAGCGGAGAGGGAATTCCCTATTCAATTCCTAATATAATGGGATACTCATTAATACTAATTTGTATATAATTGGTAAATTGTATATCAATTTGTAATTAAGTTAAAAGCTAAACAGTGAGGGTAAATAAGTTTCTAATGTAGTACATATAGGTAAAAATCTCATTCAAGAAGCCGAGAAATATGCTGTCACCACCAGTAAATAGGAGGCAGAAGGAGAGCAAAGTCAAAGGGTGGATCAAGACAGGATTAGAACGGAGTCAAGGGATGGATCAAGCCAAACTCATAACTTTGCTCATAAATTAGGTTTTGATCATGCTGTACTCAAACAATTCTCCCAAGACCCATACTTTGAGCTGAGGGTTCCTCCACCATTTTGCTGTGCACATTCAGAAATCACAGAGCGAGCGCAAACATCCCAAGTCTTTGCTATGTCTTTTAAAGACATTGGTTGTGAAAAATTTCGCAGAAAGACACCAAACCTTGATTTGGCCTTCATGGAGTGATCTTCATACTTTTTACTGCAGAAGAAAACAGTTGAAATCGAGTTTTAAAATAATTCAGTTAGGTGTTTTAATTGGAGAATATAAGACTCGAAAAGGGTGATCTCCAAAACATAATTAATAATCTTAATGCAGATCAAAAGGCAGATGAGTAAAATCTTTTATGGTGTTCCTGTATAGTGTGCTCTAAAATCTCATATCTCCTAGTCAGTATATTTCGCGAACCTATGCTAACTCATTTGAGTGTCAGCATGCCCAACATCAGCAATTTAATTTCTCAGATAACACTACCCTCTATTTTCTAGGGAGAAAAATTAACTGAACAAGACATGCTCAATAGACCCCTGTTACTAAGTACTAACAGCCCCTGATTGACTAGTAGAAAATCCAAATGGACAAAAAATCACAAGGACTCTTTGTTCATCATCTTAAGACCTACAAATTAACTAGCTATGACGAACATGGCATAAAATAAGGTCTGCCAATTTTTATTGATTTCATATGATAGAATTTTTCTTATTAATTCTCTCTTCTTCCCTTTCTCTCTCTGTGGTCATCTCTTTTTCAGTACTATATCAAGTAGACTGGCCAACTTTTCCTCACCTGACTTCAACTGGAAACTCGTCCAACAAAACCAGAGAGCAGTCTGGATAATTAGCTGGAACGAGCAATCTCAAAGGCTGAATTTGAGACTGCACAGAAGTAAAAGACTCAATCAACCATAGAAACCAAAAATGATACGAGTAGATGACTGAAGTTCAGTATACGAAGATCAAAATCTCACCATCTGTGCTGAAGCATACTGTGATTTTAAGCTTGGACTCAATGCAACGGAAGTGAAGGAACACTTAACAGTAGTACCTTCACCACCCTCTGTTGCGGAAGCAACAGCACTTGGATCAAAACCTTCATCACTAATTTCTACAACAGTGTCGATAAGCTGCCGATTGATATTCCATATCTCTTCAACCAGTGCATGATTAACCTGCAACAGATTACAAATCATTGTTCGTACTGTAGCTACTGCAGGAGAATCCTAATATTGACAGCAAGGCAATTTTCTTGTCCAAGATCACCACATCAATATGAATGAAACACATCAAGGAAAATCAGCAATCTGAAAAGTAACAATTTTTGTGAATAAACAATGTGCTTACATCAAATATAGGATGTCCTACCATAAAAAAAAATTGATGAAAAGCAAACAAGAGGAGCAAAATAAAGCTAACTCATTTTCCGTATATGCAAAAAATACCATACTTTAAGGAAAAACACCATTCTACATGTTGAGTTAACATGCTTGCGTGGAAGCAATGCTGCTTTAGTTCCCGAGTCTTACAATTATAATACCTATTATCCAATATCCAGCCAAAGCTTGGGATGTTTCCAACTTGTAGTTCTGTTTTTCTGTTGAACAAATTTACTCATTTGAGAATCCAGTTAATAAATGATTATGTGGGCAGAACCTAAGCCATTCATGTTATCTACATAAGTACAAGTATATAGTAACACAAAAGGTAGGATGCATCCAGAAATAAAGAAGCCCAATATGCAAGTGCAAGGACAAAGGGTGGTGTGTCGATTTAAACTCCAGAGAGCAAAACAGTGAAATAAGGCGCAGTTGGGAACTCAAGTCAAAAGTATTTCAAAAAAAGACAGTGACTAGACATCCGAAGACAAATGTTGGATATCGTATCTGCTGCAGCTGATTTGTTGGAATAATGAGTTGTTTACTTGTAGGAGAATTCTATTTTTGTTATTATATCTAAGATGTCTAATTCAAATTTTTTGTTAAGATATTTTTGGTTGTTGAATAACTACAGTGCAGATTTTCTGTTTTCAAATCCAAAAGATCTTGTGCTGCACCTTTTTTATTAAAAAAGAAAACAACAGTGGTGTCAGAGGCTTAGTTAGTCTTACAGAGAGTTCACTCAAAAGGACCATTCATTAATCATACCTATTTTTAAATTTATTTTTCAAACATGGGAAGTAGCAGTCTCTCTTAATGTCCAACAAACTTTCAATTGTGAAAGCTATCATATTTGATCTGTAAAAGTGGAGTCTTATCTTACCTGAAGTTGTAATGGAAGATCAATCCTTACAACCACTACTTGCAAGTCCTACCCTTGCCTAAATTAAATCTCATTCCGAAGAGCACAAGATAGAGTTTCTGAAGGTGTTTTTACGCACAAAACAAAAAAAAGGTCATGTTACAAAAGTGGCAAGTTCAAAGACACTCAAAACAATCCACAAGCACAATTAGCAGAAGCAAAAATAAAGAAGCATATTTTTCAGATTGCAGCAATGGAAGAGAAGGAGGACCGGAGGAGTGTTGAATATTGCATCTGTTAATCAGTTGGAACAATTAGCTGTTTAGTAGTAAGAGGAGTCTACTTTTATTTTAGTATCTAGGATGTTTAAATTTAAATTTATGTATAGATATTTTAGGTTGTTATAACTATTATGCAAATTTTCTGTTTTCAAATGGCTATTTATGGCCTTGTGGTTATTTAAAATTTTGGAGATAAATTTTCACTCATATTTTTTAACCTTCTTTTTGCTGCATCTTTTTTGAAAAAGAAAAAAAACAACTTTCTTCCACCTTAGACTTAGTTCACTACGAGAATATTTTCACATGCTAGTTGCTACAAAAGGAATAAGGTTGATATCAAAACCTCATAATCTCTCTCTCTCTCTCTCTCTCT